GCACTACCCAATTTGTCAGTTTGCATTCATCTGTATAATGCTATACTTACACAGATGTCCCATGACCTGCCAGTCATGCTAGTGTAATTGCTATTACAGGTATCCTAATCTAATCATTAGTAACAGTTGCTGTAATATGAATATTATATAGGTGATTATCTAAATTTTTGTTATCAATAGGATTTGAACACTCAACCTACCACTTGGGGGTTGACAATCTGACCACTTCACTAAGTCCTATTTAACAGTTTGTGAATAATGTAAGTTATTAAAAATATCATCAAATGAAGCTTCTACATAGTAATTAAGATTAATTTTGGCAGAATTAGATGCCAAATATTGTAATTCTTCATTAAACAGAGCTTCTTTATAGTCTTCAAAATTACTTTCATCTAATATATCTTAAAGTGTTTTGTCTTTCATCAAAAGAGACATATTATTTGTTAATTTCAGAAAAGAAAACTTATCTGAACTTAATTTAAATTAAGGTAATATTGAAATATTTTCACTCTAAAATAAAACTAATTGTTATATATTGTTTGTAACTATATTAGAACATCTAATCATCTTATCTTAAAATCTGTAAAAATATCATAACTAGAGCTATATTCTGAAATATTTTAAATATTATCCAACTGCTCATTTAAAACAGTTTAGCTTATGCTAACTTAGTTATAAGGGTGTCTTAGTGAAATATATTGTAATAACATGTAAGATTTGAAAACTTCTGTTTACAATATGCGCAGTACTAATGCATTTTAAATATAAGATAAAATAAATAGAAATAAAGAAAAATAAAGATAAGTAATGATAGATAGAAAAAAGATAGAACTAGAGATAAATAGAGAATAGAAATAAAAAGAGATTGAGTGCCAAGATATTAAAACCTGGGCGGAATTCTGTTTCTTGAATTTTAAAAATAAAATAGAAAGAGAAAAAAAAATAAAGAGTAATGAAATAATAAAGAGCAATGTAATAAAAGATTAGTTTAATGTGTACTATAGTGATACAGAAAATTAAATATAAAAAAAAAAATTTAAAAAAATTGAATAGAATGATAAAAGTAATAAATACTTAAAAATTATTTTGTAGTAATATATATTGATTTTAAATGATTTATTTTATATTAACAGCAAAACAGAATTATTTACAGATATTATCACTTGTTTAAATCAAACTTTATATTATATTTCATATTGATATGTTAATATTTTAATATTTGCCAAAGTTTAGCAAGAATATATATATATATTAAATCTTAGCAATTGTATAATAACTAGTAATATTTGATAAAACTATTGATGCTAATTATTACATATTATTACTTATAAAAATTAGAATTAAATTGTTAATTTTTTATATATTGTAGCATGTGACAATTATTATTAATAGTTTTATTAGATATTACTAATAATAAATATATTTTTGCTATTATTTTTTATATAATAATTGACATTAGGGCTATAACATATATTATCTAATATCTACTTACTAAGAGACTATACTCTCTCCATATCATCTAAAATCAATTAAACTGCTTAATTTTGATTAGCTATTATTATACATTGTGTAACCTAAAATTTTGGCTAACCTCCATCTTCAAAAATATTAGCTAATATTTGTTATTGTCCTTATTATATATTTATTATTGTTTGGAGTTCTTTATTTTAATATTTGACAAATCTCAAATAAAATAATATATATGTTGTTACAGGGTTGCAGCCTTCTTGGTACAATACAACCAAGTAACAAGGTCACCCGGTATAGTGATTAACTATTGCAAATATATACGGGGTGGAGGTGTAGTAGTTCACTTTACTACACAGCAGTAGGCAAACGGTTCGAGATAATAACAGTATATAGATTAACTTTTATTAAATAAACACATAGTGACAACCTTGCCTGTAGGAATTACCCTAGAGGGAGAATATCACATTTTATCATTAAAAGGTCATTATGTCTGAGTTGAAGTGTAGAAACTTAAAATTGGCAGGGAAGGGAAAAAGGTATCCTTTATATATCTTTTTATCTAGTGGGAGTAGTGGGGGTTTGAGTGACATCTTTTGATAGTGTACTTGGAGTAGTAGGGATTGTGTAGAGGCAAGTGGAGTTTGTACAGGAATAGTTGGGACAATGTTTATATGTATTTGTCATTTGTACTTGAAACATTTAGAGCATGTGTCAAGGTACTTGAGTCTGTGTAGGGACAGTTGGGGATTGTGCAGGAACACCTGGGGATTGTGTTGGGATACTTGGAGATTGTGTTGGGGATACTTGGGATTCTTGTACTGTGGTATTTGGCACAGTAAATTGTACTAAGATATATGAAACTTGTGTAGAAGTACTTGGAGTTTGTAAGACAATAATGACATCATAAATGTTACCCAATATCATGTATCTGTATCACACTTCTAACAACCAATTAAGATTCTATTTTCTAACTACTATATACTATAATATAACTATGCTAATAACTAATAATAAATATAATATAAAATACAATAATAAATATATAACAACTACTAATAATATAATATACTATGCTATGCTAAAAATCTACTTTGTAACAAGATAACTGAATCTTTAACAGTATTACTATAAAGACTAGACTAAAACAATAGATATCAAGATTATAGTATTCAGATAAGCAAAAATCTTCAAATTGAGAAAAACTCAGAAATGTTACTAACTAGGCTGCCAAAATGAACTAAAAGAAAAGAATATTGGACCAATCTAATATACTGATAGACTGATCATAATTTTATACAAACTATCTGAATTAGGAGTCTTGACAAAAGACAGAAACATACTAAAGTACTAAGATTATGTTGTAAAATAAATACTAAGATTTAAGTAAACTCTACAAGAATATAATGGTTAAAGACATAATTCTGACTTCAAGTATTAATTTTAATATAAGAATATCTAAAATGAATACAGAAGACTCTAAAAGATTTACCTTGAGAATAAATAGTTCTAAGGTTAAGATGATTATTTGAACATTTAGATATGACCTAATAATGTTAACACAGGTTGCAGATTTAGAAAGTTTAAAATGAAACACTCAAGCAAAGATGTTAGGTATAGTAATTGGTGAGAAATCTTTAGATGAACTTCTTAAATATGTAATATAAAAAAGTTACATGCGTAATCAATTATACACTCTCCTGTAATAGTTCATAAAATCACATTACTAAAAAACTTATTAATAAAAGTCAAAAGGCCAAAGTCACCTTAATATCAAAAAAAAAAATAAATAACAAAACTACCAAAAATTAAAAAAAAATTAATACACAAAAATTGATTTAAACATTACTTTTTGATTTTTTTTTTTTTTTAAAGTTCCAAATTCTCTATCAGGCATAATCAAAATTTACACTTTCTATTTTTTTTTAATTTATATTACTTACATTCATTAAAGTTTGGTCTCTAAAAAAATAATATATTTAACTGTAATAAATTAATGCAGAATATGAACATGATCACTGAAAAGTAATGTTACAAATCGAAAGTTTAGAATCAGAACTAATCAATCAAACTTTTTTAGATTCCAACTAATTGATTATTGTGGTTTGCAAAATTTTATAAATTTACAGATCAAAAATAAGAAAATTCTGATTGTCTTAAAAACTACTCCAATAACATAATATGAAACTATCATATCATAGTTCTTTTAAGAAATCAAACATCACAAATAATCTAAAAATTGATCGATTTCTTTTTTTTTGACCTGCAAAATTTACAAAATTTTATAAACTGCAATAATCGACTAATCGATTATACTAATTACGGTTTGCAAAATTTTGTGAAATTTGCAATAAATCGCTCGATTGTTAGGTGATTTCTGATTTCTTAAGGTACTTCAATATCTGAATGTGAAATTTTCTTATAGTAGTAATTTTAAGAAATCAGAAATCTGTAAATTTCACAAAATTTGTAAACCGTAATAATTAGTTGCAACTTAACAATTAATCGATTAGTTACAACTAGTTGCCAACTGAAAAAATAATTAACCTACTCATCGATCGCAAAAAAATTTTGATGTGTAACACTATTGGGATACTGTTAATTGTGTAATGATGATAGTAAAGGCGGGAAGTATCCGTCATCCATCTGAATTTATCCTGATATCCATTTACTATTGATATACGGATAAACCGACAAATATTCGGATAATTATCCGGATATCAATAGTAAAACGGATATCCGAATAAATTCAGATCTGAATATGTATACAATATTGGGCAGACGACAAAAAAATAACAGGAAAATTGATGTTATCCGATAGTTAATAAGATTATTTGAAGTTTTTTCGTAATATTTTACAAAACTAATTACGTAATTTCAAAAAAATTTACGTGATCATATGAAATGTCGGATAACCAATAGATAAATAGATAAACGGAACTCTAGCGGGAAAAATATCAATTCTATAAATGTACGTTGACTTTTGGTCCAAGGGGTGTACACTCAGTGAGGTTTTGACTGTATAAATTTGGGTTAGTCACGTAACAACAGGGTTTTGATGAAAAGTGCCTGATTATAAACTAGAAGATATGTAACGTTCTGCTGTCAGAATCCCAACAAAAGCAATTGAAAACCAAAACGAAAAACACTTTAAAAGAGTGAAATTATACGAAGTATAAAATAAACATAAAAAAAAATATATCAAGAAAAATAATACGAAATTTACGCATAGAACTCCAAATTTTTTTTATAATATAAATTTGCATCAGTAACAAATTTACGACCTTATCCAAAGTCCATGGCAACTCTTTCCTAACCAACTTTACCGACTTCTACTAACCACTCATCATGTAACACTTTCGCAGTTAAAATCCAAATTCGGCATTCTAATATATGTGAAAGTGAGATAGATAGCTGTTTCACACTAATATGGATTGTAAATGATGCTTATGCTGTCTTCTTTTTTTTTTTTTTTTTTTTTTTTCTTTGCTGTTGGTTTTATAAAAATTTGTACAGAATTAAAGCCGTTCTTCTTATAAAGTTAACGCCTGTAGAAAGTTAAATTTAAATAGCTTAAGCCAATGACTATAGTAAAATTACTAACTAAAATAGCGTAAATTTAATCTTACCATGATAGCATTAACGATATCGTTATTATTTTCCTTGAGAGCCTTTACAGCTTTAGAACGGGGGACATTCTGATATAATTAAAGGAAATCACAAGAATTGTTCAGGAAAACAAGGTGTTTTTGTTACTTAAGAGTAATTTCAATCAATATAATTACGTTCGCCGAAGCGAAATTTCGTAATATCGAAAATGATTTATAAACACAAACGAAAACCACAGAATTTATTTGTAAAAATAAACGCACGGCTTGTTGCATGACCAATTCGATGTCTTTCGCCTCAACGTTAGATTCATCTATGTTCAAGTCTTCTTCATCTTCCTCGACAGTTACATCTTCCACCTTACTGGAATCTTGTGCTGCTGCTGCTGCTTCAGCAGCCTGAAATTGTTGTGCAGCATTGGCTTGAGCTTGAGAATTAAGATCTTCAATTTTAGCTTCACCAAACACAATGTAACAATCAGAATTGGCAGATTTGTAGACATCAGGGTTAGAAACAACAAAGAGGATCTATTAAGAATAGGATTTTTTAAAAAAATAAATGACCATCATCAATATTTCAATCGAATTGTAGTATAAATTTTCTGGATGTGAATTGAAAAACATACATTCTTTGGTCTTCGAATAGTCACACGGTTGATGCCGGGTACGACTTTTAACCCTAACTTTTGCATTGCCTTGCGAGCCTTTTTCTCTCCACGACTTTGGATTTTGGCAATATCAGCTGGAGCAACTCCAGCTGGGATACCACCGTCCTCCTCTAAACTAGGAACTGAGTCGTCATCAGATTCAACGGTAGTACCCTTTTTTTCCAGTACATTGGAGTCTTCAATCTCTTGAATTTTTACGCCGTCTTCGTCTTTTAGCTCACCTTCGGCATTAGAGCTTTCCAAAGTTATTTCCTCGTCCGTAATTTCTTGAATCTTTGGTTCGTTAATCTCTGCCATTATTTTATGTGGAATTTGAACTAGAACCACTTTTTTTTTTTACTGAATTTTTAAAAAATTTTTAGTGGCTTTTCCACAAATTTCCTAATGCGTGCGTGTTGGTTAAACATCCGTTAGATCTTTAAAAAAAATCAAGATATCATGTGACTTTATCAAATTTTAATCAATTAATCTCAATAGAAAATTTTTCATGCTCACTAATAAAGCTCTCTTTCTGAGGCGTTTAATGCCCAAATCCACAATTTGTATTGGTATAAATTTCATAATTATTTTAATGGCTTTTGTACCAGAATACGTTTATATTTGTTTCATATGTAAATTATATATAAAACAGCGCATCTACACAGTAAACCATCCCGGCTTAGCACGCAAACCACAACGATAAAATTAAAATTAAAAAACAATGTAGATAAACACCTGGAATTCTGCGAAAAACTCGGGATAACATTTTCTGACCAAAATTTAATACATCAAGTTTGTACACATAAGTCGGTTAGATCTAATACTGCGCCTACGAATGAACGGTTGGATTTCTTAGGTAATCCCTTATTTACAGTTATTTATTCTTTTTAATAACTAATTAATTCTTAAAAATAGGCCAAAAAGTCTTATCTCTTTATGCAGCCGAATACTTATTTAACCAAGTGAAGCCTTCAGAACTATATGACCGTGTTTATTTATATACAAAAAGATCCACAAATATTGGTAAAATTGGTATTAAAATGGGATTAAACAAATTATTGCATTGGACGCCGGTAAAATTTCTTTTTAAATACACATTATCTTTTATACTGTCATATAGATGCTTATATTTTTTAATTTTATAGAATAATGAATCACAAATAATTGAAGCTGAAAAAGATGGACATAGTTTACAAGGTCTAGGTGAAGAAAATGTTACTGGTAGAGCACTTCAAGCGCTTGTTGGAGCAATATATCATGATCAGGTAGTCTATTTTATTTTCGATTTATCATTACCAAACTCTAAAAATTCATTTCTATTTTAAGGGTGCATATGCGGCAAAACAATTTGTTCATAAATATATATTATCAGCTTCTATAGATCTTAGTTAAACGTCATTATAAGTACATATTATATACAGTATATTGATATTTGAAACTAAATTAGACCAATATATTTAGAATAAAAACTAAAATAAATTTAGCTTATATTTTAAATATATATATCTTTAGCTTGTGCAGCCGTCCTCTTCTATAATTACGCTGTTTGTCAGGGTGTGTAGGTTACGCCAATTTTCGCATCAGGTGTTACAAGTTATTGGGGTTATATTTAAGAGATTTTCATGATCATTGCTGATCATATTTATTTCTCAATAATTATAACGATAACGATAACCATATTCATTTGCCAATATCAAAAATTTGGTTATTAATTTAATACTTGAAATTTGATAATATTTAACAGTCGAAAAAGCAACACTAATGAGAATATGGATATACTTGTAACTGTTACTATTACTGCTATTTTTGTTACTAAATCAACAAATGCAAAAGTAATATAAAAAAGCGTTTTATACTTTTTTATTGTAAAAAAAGTAATTTTTTATTACTTGATTTGATTTTCTTAGACTGCAAATGAGCTATAATTAATTTTCTATTTATTACATTATTTCTTATGCACATTACTACATTACAATTACTAAAATAATATTTTGAATTGTGTTTGATAATAAATAATATGGATTTTACATTTTCTGTATTTTAATTACCAATATGTTTTAAGATGCTAGTATATATAGAATTAGTTGTTTTAATGAGACTATTAAAAATTCTTTGACTATTTTTTAAGTCTAATCAAATTATTTGAACCTTGCATGTTTTTATTTCATTTATTGCTTAATTGGGATTTTTATACAATTAAAAATCCAACATTATAATTTTTCAAATAGTTTTAAATATTTTATATTATTAAATATTTTCAAATAGTTTCAATTAATAACTGTTCTCAGGATGTGGTGACTTAGTGAAGTAGATAAGTTGTCATACTTCCAAGTGGTAGGTTGTGAGTTCAAAATCTACTGACAGTGAAATTTGAATAATTACTTATGAGATATATAGACAATATTATGGTGACAGCATTTTGTCAATCAGTTGAGATAAGATACTTGTAACTATGGTCACATCAGCATGATTGACAGGTCTGGGGCATCTGTGTAACTTGTTACATAAAGGAATACAAATTGGTACCAGATAGTGCAAACCTAAAATAAGTCTTTAGGCTATATAAATTTGTAGAACTAGGAAGCTAAAGCCCACTTGAAAATTCTGAGCAGAGAGGTAATACAAATCTTCAATGGTACTACTGTAAAGGCTAGACCTAAAAAATAGATACCAATATGAAGGATTTGGGTAGACAAGAACCTTAGATAAGGAATACCACCAACTAGGTTACCAGATTTCAGACCAAGGAAAAGAATATTTGGTCAGCCTCAATATATCAAGGACAGATTACAGTCCATTCAGGCTATCTGGATTGGAAGTTTGGATTCAAAGCAGGAGTATACTAAAAGTACTAGGGATATACTGTAAAGTTAGTACTGAGGTCTGGGTAAACTCTGTAAGAATAACCTATATTAGTATTCTAAAAGTAGGTGATAGTTAATAATGAAGGGCCTCCTGCATCTTACTGGCAAGTAATATACTTTGAAATATGTAATGGCCTGTGAACTAGTACAAAAAGAGTAGATAATCATACTGCTTAGACAGTATACTAGTTAGTTATATACAGAAGGTAAATTGAGGATTTTAATATGACAGAGCAAATAATTAGAGAGTTTAAATAAATAATCTCCTAGTAGGCTATAGGTACAGTATCTAGTGTAGAACTTTAGAGTGGATTACTTAAATAGGCAACTAAAAGTTGCATACATAACTAGCTGTACTTATATCTCTATAAAAATAGTTGTAATTGCTAACCTGATATAAAGTCAATAAAGTATCACCACAAGTATGATCTTTAAAAAAAATAAAAATAAAAAAAATTACTGTTCTTAACTGCTTAATTATATTTATTAATAAATCTAAGATAAATAACTTCAAAAATAATTTATAATATGATTATTTCTGAAAAAATATATAATAAAATACATATATGTCTAGTTTATAAATAAATAATATAGTAATATGAACTTTTGACAGTACCATTGGACTGGTTGAAGCCTATAAAACACCTTCATAAGAACCGAAGATTAAAACCGAATGACAAATATGTGTAGAGGAGCACATAACCAACCAGGCTGCCAGGTTCTTCAGAGAAAAAGGATACAGAAGTATACCATACCGGGCTATCTGGATTGGTAGTCTGGATAAATAAGACCGACGGTTCTGAGTTGCGGCTAGTAGGGGATGATGGAGAAGATACCGGAAAGATGGGTACTGGGGTTCTAGTGAACTTTACAAGGGTAGAAATAGTATAACGTAGTGGTTAAACAGGTAACCCCTATAACTGCAAGTGTTAGGTAACTATAGCGTGTTGCATAAAACTAGGTCTAGATATGTGTGACATAAAGGCTCTAGTAAGTTTCCTATCGAGGATAAAGTAGTCCTAAGGAGACTGATAAGCATCGGGAACTTGGATGGATGGCGCCTTGAGATGTTCTCATGATACAAGGAGGATTGCATATACAGAAGGTTTAAATAGGCAAGACTCCTAGTTGGCTTAGGTATGGCAACTAGTGTAGAACTTATATAGTAATATGTAAGCGGACTATTTAAATTAGGCACCAAAAGTGCATGTGTGGCTAGTTGTAACCTTCAATGTAAGGTGAGCCCTTGGTAGCATGCTGTGTTCTAATATACTTAAATAAAAACATCGCAACTCCCAAGATAGGGACTTTAACTTAAAAAAAAAAAAATAATAAATAAATAAATAATATAATAATATATATGTCTTGAACAAAAAAAAAAGAATGAAAATATAAATTAAAATTATATATATAGTATATATGTTAGGATATACAAAACCAAGGTTTAGCAGTTATTTGAGATTAGAACTTATTAATAACATTTGATATGTATTCTGAATTATTATAAACTATATTTACAAAAATAATATTAATGATAAAAATAATATAGACTTTATATTTTAGTCTTAAAATCAAATTTTCAAATACAATCAAATAGAAATTGACAACTATATATTTAAAAATTTTTATTTTTTAAATTATTTTGTAACAGTAAATTTTTAATATAATGATGAAGTTTCAAAAATTTTGGTAAATATTAAGCAATATAATTACTTTAGTATTAAATAATAAGTTATTATATATTAGATATTAATTCTTAATAATAATACTGATTAAAAAATATATACAATATATATATATATATATATGTTTAAAAATAATAAATCAAATAATATAGTATTTATTCAATCATTTTTTGTTTTAAAGCTTTACCAGGATTCTTTAATATTTTGACTATTAAAGTATTTGCAATATTTATATAGTTTAATTAAAATATATAAATAGTAATATATATAAGTTATTTACAGAAGCAGACAAGAATATAATGCTAATTGAATATGAAAGAATTCAAGACCAAGAAAATAAAGAAATAGTGCAACAAGAAATAGTTACGAAAGAAGTAAAGCAAGAAGACAAA